AAATACATTAAGTTAAAAATGAAAAAAAAATGCAAATTAAATGTTTTTAATTTAATTTAAATATACATCCATGGTGTATGTTGTAAAAAATTATTGAGTATCTAGTTTTGGAAAAGAATGCAAAATGCATTGAAAGTGTTTTAGTGATAACCATATATTTTAAGTGGCTTCAAAATTATAATATTAGATGACTATCTACATTTTTAAACTGTATTTTTACCAATAGTATTTGAATCCATGTTTTTTAAATTTAGTAAAGCTTCAGCATAAGGCACTTGAAGTATAGTGGCATTCATAATATTTTTGAACTCTTGGTACATAGGTAAAGTCAGATAAAATCTTAATGACTCCACATCAGGAGAAGGCAAWGATAAAGAATCAACTGCACTGGCTAATGATGTAAGTATCTAAAAATAATAAAATATTAGTGATTATAACATATATAATGATAACATGAATTAAATACTCACCAAGTCTCGCAATGAAGTGTTGCGTACACGATTTATCATATTGAAACATTGTATAGCCAGTTCAAAATCTATACCATGATTATTTTCTGTACAAGCGTAATGATTATCATTAGACATTAAAAATGAGCCATTTAAACATGACAAACTGCTCATCACTATTTCTACAAACCTAAATGGAACATAAAATGTATATCATAATATATTATTAATTGATTAATCAATGTTTTTAAACATACGACATTCTTTCTTGGTCAACAGGAATTTCTGGTAGAATGGTTGATAAATTTGTCACATCTGGAAGCTTTACAGTCCAAATTTGAGAACTTTCTTGTAAAATTCGATAATCATCTGGCTGTATGTCAAGCTAAAAGGTATTTAATTTAGGGATTATTATTTTTAACAACTAATACTTTATAATTTAAATAATGCATACCGATTTATGAGTAACTTTAACAAAACATTGATCACCTCCTGCATAAATACTTTTAACAATATATTCCTTTTTTGTATCTATCATAGCTGTTCCAGACGGTGAAAGCCAAGGACCTAACACTAATTGTGGTGTATTTGAATTGTTATATAATTTTGTACCTAACTGGCCAACACTACCAAGTCCAAATGAGTAGACACGACCCTTTGAAGGTACTAAAGTCAAAGTATGTCTCCTATTAAATGTTAAAAATAATTATTTATGAATATGCAGTACCTTATAGTTTATTGAATTATAATTATTACCGTCCACATGCCACTTGTGTCACAGTACTACCCATGAGTTCTAGCACTTTTCTTGGAACAATTTCATTTGAAAATGAACCATGCCCTAATTGACCATACATACCAGCACCACATGTAAAAACTCCACCATCCTAAAAAATAATAAGAAATAGTTAAAAAAAACAAAACATTATGCATTACCTAATAATTAATGCATAATTACATATGTCAAAAATACTGAGAAATCTTCTCCTCCAGTAATATATTTAACTCTGACAGTTCGTATTGTTTTCAATTGTGTAGGTAATGATGAGTTATTTTGACTGTTAATCCCTAGTTGTCCAAAATCATTTTTACCCCAACCAAAAACAGCACCTATTTGGAATAAATAATTAGTAAAAGTATTTTATTAATCATAAATTTGGGGAAAGAAAAGAATTTTATACGGATATAATGGTAAAAAATTTTATCCAWAAATTCTAAAAAAAATTAATTTTAGGAWATCATAAGCGCACTTTTAAATTAATTTTTATTAGCTTATTTTGTGCACGGCATATTTTGAAAAATTTTGATGCAAGCATAATCTTTGATTTTTCAGTGCATAAAATTCATAGCCTTGATAATGTCATTTTTACTTCTACCTTTCATAATTTATATTATTATTATCATAGTTATTTATCAATGACATTGATAATGTTTCTCATAAAGAAGAATAAATCAACTTCTATTGTATATTTTTTATACATTAATTTCATTAAAAGTTGGAAAAATATAGGGTGTCTTGCGGGGATTTATCCATTTAGATATCTTACAAAATAATGGAAATATCAAAATGCTAGTTTTGTAATAAGACTCACAGGGATAAGAACTATATTATTTCATTTTTTAATTTATTTTAATGTTTTGGTAAAAAAGTTAAAACATATATATTTTTTTATTTAATTATTTCCAAAAAACCTTAAAGATAATCATTTTGTTAAGTTTATTTTTCTGAAAGTATTGAAGTTTCAACATTTTATTTTCATTAATTTCCGGATTTTTTGATATTTATTCTAGTTTTGAAGAAAAATTAGGAAATGAATGAAAATAAAATTTAGAAACGTCAATATTTTCAGAAAAATAAACTCTAAAAAATGGCTAGAGTAATTTTTTTTTTGGAAATAAAAAAATATATTTTTAAGCTATTTTACCAGAACATTAAAATATGAAATAATTATAGTTCTTATCCATGTGATTCTTATTACAAAACCAGAATTTCAATATCTCCATTATCGATGTGGGACATCCTGTATATATATAGATGTATTTTATTTTATTTTTATCTAGAATTTTTTTTTTTTTATCATAAATATTATTAAATTTAATATAATGACCTATTAACTGTTTTGTATTTGAATAATATTTATATATGAATACGGTTTAATTAAAAATTAAGTATATTAAATGATGATCAATTTTAACTTATAATAGGATTAAAATTTTAGAAATAGTATGTAGGATAAATAAATAAGAACATGTTTTTATATATTAATCGTACCTGATTTTGATACAATGAAACTATGATATCCACCACAAGCAATAAATGAAATAGGTAAGCCAACCAGTGATTTAACCAATGTTGGCTTTGACACATTACTAGGGCCTAGTCCAAGGCCCAATTGTCCAAATTCATTTGAGCCCCAAGTGTACAACTCTCCATCTAATTATACAAATAATATTTAATGATATAAAATAACTGAGTTTAATATACAATAAGAAATACAATTAAATATTATTAAAACATTTAATGATTATTGATTGAAGTACTATTTTGTATGAAATTTTATYACAAGATATTATCTTATATTATCTTTATATTATTTTTCCAACTCACGATTTGTTAGAGCCATACAATGTTTATATCCACAACTAATTTGAACTAATAGCATACTGGCTAATGTTTTGACAATTTTTGGTTTATATTGAATCTCTTCATTAGTTTCAAGCCCTAAATTTTATTAAAGAATCAAATCAACCCATTTTTATTCATAGTAATAAATCTATATAAAAATAAACCCATTTTAAACTCACCTAACTGTCCACAGGAGTCAGAACCCCAAGTATATAACTGTCCCCATTCATTTAGTGCCATTGAATGAGCTTCTCCACATGCAACACTTGTCATCACAATAGATTCAACCCCCGGAATTTGCCCTGTAAAATCAAGAAACTTACAAATATAATATGCACATAGATAGCTTGTTGAAATTAAAGTACACATTTTAAAATAAACGTACGTAGTTTTGTTCGACATTTATCATGTCCCAGCTGACCAAAATCGTTACTACCACAAGCATATAATTGTCCATCTTCAGTTACAACCAGTGTATGATTATTTCCACAAGCCACTAAAAATGAACATCTGAATGAAATATTTGAATTGTTTCTAATGTCTCATACAAGATAGTTAATTACCTGATTTAATGTTATTCACGCTTTCAAAATTGACTATCTCTGTTGGACTGAGGATATAATTTTCCTCAATACCACCCAGGCCGAGTTCCCCGTTGATTGTATTGCCCCAACAATACATGGTCAAAAGTCTGAAGTCTGGTTTCTAATTATTTATGACTTGTTTCAAAGTTCTAAGGCAGTGATGATAATGAATAATAACAATATTTTAACTAACCACAAAACAAACGCATATCACGTGAATAATAATTATCTAAAAATAAATAGGTACCATACCGTAATATTTGAAAGGTTTTATCATTACTCTAGGTCGTGTAAAGTAGCATGATGTTATATTTAAATTATCATTTACATTAAAATAAAAGTGACACTAATTTCAAGACGGACATTTAAAGTATACATCAACGAAAATAACGGTACTATACTCCACCGATAATTTAAAAAAACAAACTGCGTTGGAACGCTTGAAAATAAAACTTTAAAGCAATTTTTTATTATACCTAATGCTTACTGCTTGAGATTGATAGTTGATCGGCAACTTCTTTTCATGTAAGTACGAAGTAAAAATATATTTTAACGTAATAAGATAACAGTTACTTAAAAAATAAAAACACACTAGCAACAATCATCATAATTCATAATGTGAAATAAATGATAATAGGCATATTCAAGGAAGATAATAATATTATATCAACACAGCTTGATCCTTCCAAACGTCTTTGGTATTTAAGTACTTTAATGTTTATTTTTACAATAACTGCGAATTCTAGAATATTCTAGACTTCGTATAATAATTATATTCATATTTCATGAATCATGATTTGTAATATTAATGTTGTAAAACATCGAATTGCGGCCACTCAGCAAGTTGTCGGCGCCTCGGCGGGTCGCTGATAGCCTTCCGAAGCAGACAAGCAGTACCTATCGGAAATAGTGTGGTTGTGGTTCATAACTTTAATAGGTATGTACTTATATACTATATTTACATTTGCACCAACTTGAATGACTATATTATATTAATAATAGTAATATTTGAGTGGCAACAATAATTTTCTTTACACGAACGTGTGGGTTAGGTTAGGTTAGAAGACTATKGTCGGATTCGGGATTGGTAAAAAAATAAAACAATATTTTGTAGCTTTGGCAAAAGGTAACACGGTTAGTTAACTATATAAATATACGTTTTTTTCTAGGGTTTCCGAAAGGTTTCATAATRTCGATTTTACGAAAAATATAAAATTTCATAGCTAAAAGGTACCTAATTATTTTTCGATCAATTATAATTTATAAATTCAAGATATTAGACTTATTATTTACATATAAGTTTAAACATTGCAGTTATGCGTTTGACCTTATTTGCGAGGTTACCGAACCTAACTTAACCTAACATCATTCGTGAACTATAAAATACCTATGTATGGACGTTCAACAGCACTTTAGGACAGGCAAGCCAGACAACTGCTGCAGTATGCTGCAGACCAGTATTCTCCAAACTTTTTTTTATCAAAGGGCCATATAAAATATCAAAAGCTATAAGTAATCCAAAATTGTATAAACACATATCATTTTTAATTTTATAGAAATGCGTATATTTATAAATATTTTAATAAAATAGTTCTTATATTACAAGTTGTAAAATTATGATACAGTTGGTAATTGACACGTATGTTAAGTGTACCTACGCGATAAGTAACGATTTTGTACATTACATATATTTTTTGATTATTCACTGTCCTTTGGGCCTTTTTGGAGGTCGATTATAATTTTTTTGCGATTCGTAGTTTAGAGACTCCGGTAATGTAAACTGAAGTGAAGTGTACATATTTTGTTTATTTTTAGACATTAGTCTATACCGAGTTCCACCAATGGCTTTAATGGTAGACGGGGTTGTTGATCACAAATTGATTAATAATATACTACTTTGTACACAATTTTCCCATTAGATCCAACACTAATCAATTTATTCGAATTTTTAATTTTTATTGATTAATAATATTTTTAATACAGAAGATCTATGAGGCATCATTCTCCAATATTAGCAATATTTCTGTCAAAAGGGGAAAGATAATCTGTTAATAATATGGTATATTTTATTAATTTTATATATTTTGTTACTAGTAGTTACTAGTTACCAACAAATAGGCAAATCAAAGTGATTGGAATAAATCTTTAAGAAGATGTCGACGTACTATTTGTTTTCTCTCTAGCTCTGTCTCAGGCTCAATATAGCCAAAACGCATTTACGCAGAATCATTTTTTCTATGGTTTTAAGTAGTCTTAGAGTAAAATCACCCAGTACAAAAAATATAGAGGATAATATTATAATTTTTTGAGGGAGTGACAAAACGATATTATAATTTATTGTTATTTGATGTTGTATTCCGCTGAATAAAATAAACAAAAAAATGTTGTACATTTAAATGATGTTTTAATTGTTTTGAGTTATATATAGACAAATCAATATGTCATTCCCTCAAAAATATTATTCCCTATCTTTTATGTACTGGATAATTTTACTCTAAGATACTTAAAAACATAGAAAAATTATGCGTAAATGCGTTTTGTCAATGTTGAGGGTGGGCCAGAGAGAGAAAACAAATAGCGCGCTGACATCCTCTTTAGAAATGTTTTGTTACCTACAAAATAATGAATATAAAACATTATTTATTTATTTATTTTTTTGTTTTTTGTTAAAGCGATGTGCGAATTGTTCAGTTGTTGGGTTGGAGACTTGATGGAAGAAGCCATCTTGTGATGGAACTTCTTAACTGTTAACAATTTACCTAATCGTTTAGTATAGTGGTGCCCAACCCGCGTCCCACGAAGGTATTCTGTGCGGCTCGTCACAAATTTTTAAATAAAAAAAAATATTYTAAAAAAAGTAAAATTATATTTATTTATTGTAATGTAAGTCGTATGTAAGTGTATGGTCGTAAGTAATGTATCGTAATGTCGTTTGATATTAAATTCTTTAAAAACTGAAACCGTTTCACGGCACACAAGACAAACAGCTTTTCCATTAATTTCAATAAAAAAGTAATTTATTGACCATTTCTCATTAAAAATTCGGCAATCGTCATTATATTTACGCTTTTTTCTGTCGGACATTTTTATTAAACTTTAGTAGGTACCAGCACCATTTGCGTTTCAGACGCCTACTATAKGATAACAGGGATGTAAAAGTAACCAAGTTACCGTTACTTTACAAAGCAAAAAGATAACTTGATTACCTTTTTGTTAATCAAAAATAAAAGCCACATTACTTTTTGTACCTAGTACTTGTGAGTTGTGAAAATGACGTTAAATATTTAAATTTCATAAAATATACTAACAAATTGGTGATTAATTATATTTTACATAATATTTTAGCTAAAACTTTCTATAAACGCTTTCCACTCATCTATCCAACTACCGCAATTCTCTTATATCAAACTTATCTGTCTTTAAAAAGTAACTAATTCCATTGACAGATTTAAGATTTATAGGCAATATAAGTAATAGTCGCCAATTACATTAGAAGAAGCCATCACTATGTGCAAAACTTATCCGAGAGGCTTGACTCGTGAGTCGTGACACTTGACATCCCTTTTACAAAACCTTTTCGCTGTACCTAATTTAGTTGTACCCAAAGAACAGTATAATATCAGTGGGACCCTCCGGAATTTGTCCACGAATTAACTATTAAATCCATCACTGAACTTACCCTGCAGTTACCCAACACTAATCAAATAATATGTATCGTTAGGTAGAACTTACAATATTAAAAACCTATACTTAAACTTTTATACTTTGATTCATTGCTAACTCGGTCCGTGCATGATACATTAGTAAATTTTGATCTAATAAACATTCTTAGCAATAAGCATAATATAACATAATAATAAACAATTATAAATAAATAGACATACGGCATAGACCTAACCATAGACTAACATAATCTAAACTGATATTAATTCAAAGATCAATAAGGATTATTTTGAACAACTATATTTTATAGGCACAATTTATGGGGATTTTTTTTTTGCCAACATCACAAACACCTTGCATACTTACGTATGCGTATAGCGCATATATCTACGTGGCAACGTATCCCAATAATATATGTTCGTTAATTAWTCAAATTTATTATTAAAAATTCATAATGTTGGAAACTTAAACTTAGATGTTACTGCGACAGTGCACTATTCGTTTCCTCCCTAAACCATCATAATATGGGCAATATAGCAAACCAATTTGTCAATAATTTAAGTGATTAGGTCTTAGGTTAATTCACTCTTACATTAACAACATACAATTTATTCAATTAAATACAACTATTCTATGTTTTGTGTGTGTGGTAGGGCCAGAGAGTGAAAACAAAATATAATGACCTAACTGATGAGTGCAGCACATCTCCTTAATATTTGACTATCTACATTCATGGATAATATTATTAATAATTTTATGAATGGTATCCATAAGCAATTACTTGTTATTATTACATCTACTATTAGATTTCCTCATCTTAACCCTTATAGTAATTTAATTTGTAGCTGTTAACCATAACTTAACTCTTGCGACAAACCTAACTATAATAAAAAATTACAATGTATGAATAAAATACGGGGTAATAATCTTGCAAACTTGCAATTTTTAAGATATTTAATATTGTTTAAGTTAAACTAAAGGGGGCGTAGGAGGTTTTACACGACTAAAAATTGAAATTGATGCGTATTAAAAAAAATCGAAATTATAGAATCAAAACTTCAAATTGTAATCAGATACGTACATATTATTCAAATTAAATAAATTGGCATAAAAATAAAAATGAGAAAAAACACAACTTAAAAATATTATAATTAGACTAACCTAACCTATATCTATAAACTATAGTAACCTATGTCCTATAATATATAAATTAATTAATACAATGAATATGTTATGCAATGATAATTTTAAATAATAATAATATTGAATCAATTATAATTTAAATAGAAAACTCTTCGAACTAAAATTTACGTATAGAGAAGTATAAATTGACGATTATAGTTATTATTTATAAATTATTAGTTATTACTTTATTAGTCATTTCATTATATTATCAACACAAAAACTTAAAACAGTCATAAAATAAGAAATCTAAATTCAAATATGAATATAAATTACAAAACTGATATTTCTCACTAATTAATCTTTAATATTAAAATATTGTGAAATCATAATATAATAATATGTCACGTAATCACGTCGAAGTCAGCAAAATGTACCTTACTAGTGTTACTCGTATTGCCTATATATGTGCCGCGACGGTTGTTGAGCGGA